CCCCAAAACCCCAAAACCCCATAAGTTTAAATCGTTCACAATATAAGTATTATTAAATTCATTTGTATATTCAACTTCTTAAAAAGTGAGGTTAAAAATTAGAATAGCGCATTTTAATTACAAATTTAATTATTTAAAGGAGGAATGGAGCTGAAAAAGAGCCGAAATCAATCATAAGCCAGTAAAGGAAGAGATTTCAATAATGAAGGGAATTAGGTATTTTAGTAAGATCAGGAAATGGATGAACATGGAAATTTCATTGACCCTCAGCCATAAAATATTTCCTCAGAAGTGAGATTGATAAATAGCAATGCGTCAATTATGAATGTCTATGGAGGTGGTCAAGATTTAGTTGCATATAACTCGCAAAATCTCAATGATGCCAGTAAGATGAGAAGATATAAGATTGAGGATAAAAGAATAATGATAATGGATAGTAAGTTTAAATTTTATTGATGAATATTATCATTAGGTAGATTAACTGATTCAAAACCTTTCATATTCGAGGCTGATAGAGGAGATGGAGAAAAATTCAAAGTCCTTTACAACAAGCTAACTGATTCATATTTTCAGATGCAAGAGTCAATCAATGAAAACTCACTATTTATGGGTAAATCTATAATGAGAGGTAAAATTAATTAAATGTTTATTCTTTAATGTAGAGGCTAAACTATATACAATTACAGAAATCGATCCAATATTTTTCATGCTAAGAGCTCTCAGGATGGGGCTGAGTTAGAATTAAAAGCTTTATCAAACTCTTTCTCAGATCTTAGATACAATAATATAAACTTCAAATATGGATCATGATACAGGAGATATTCACTAAATTCATGAAATCATAAATCCTTTCGCTCCATCAGATCCTAATCACACTTCAAACACATAGTATAACCCAAGGATTTTAAAAGAGCATTTACTAACCAGTCAAAGATTAAGGAAATCTCTAGAGAAAATTTGTAATACGAAAATAATCAAATTAGATGAAAAGGAGCAGATTTAAACTTACTTGATAGACGAGGATAAACTAATATAGCATTTAGTTATGAAATAGAAATAGATGAAGCAATTTCTAGGATAAAGATATGCAGCTTTTCACAAGAAGTAACTTGATGGTGTAAGTAAAGCTGAAGGTATCATAAAGCAAGAAGTGAAGAGGGAATCCTAACTTAAAAAAGAAGAAGAGTAAAAAAATAGTGATTTATATCAAAATACTTAAGGAATGCAAATTTATGAAACTATGTACGAAACTCTGGCATCGGGTTACATTGCTGATGAGTTACCCTCAGACCTAACAGTACGATTTTTAGAGGCAGTTTAGTTGAGTAAAAATGAAATATATTCTGGTTTGTAAGATGATCCAAACTAGAGGTAATAATAGCAATCCTTAAGTAAATTTGGAATTTAAACAACTACTCCAGGTGGAAATCAATAACTTGATAAGAAAAGATCAATAACAGAAACTTATGTAGTCAATGAATAGAAAATTGATAGCATTAACTCCGCTAGTAGTAGCAACCAGAGCGAGAAAAAGAATACTATGCAAGCTAAGAAGCAATCAGAGATTGTTAGTAGTGGTCCTCTTAATAGATTTTTTAAAAGTGTATCGAAGCCATCGGCTAATTGAGTAATGATTTTTTCTTAATTGTATTATAAAAATAAGATAATTTAATATTTTATAAGTCAATCGTATAATGGAAACGACAGTTGATAAGTAAAGATCATCTCATGGTGCGGGGGGTTAGATTGATCTTTCATCTTAAATTATGAATCTAAAGAAAGCAGCAGCTGCAAGGAAAAACCCCACAAAAAAGAAGAAGGATCTATCAAATTTATCCCTAGAAAATAATAATATGAATGAAACTAGTAATGATCAAAATCAGCAAAATGACTAAAATCAATTTGGTACGCGAAGTAGTAGCACTGGTAGAATAAATTCTTAGTAGCCAAGACAAGGCGGAGGTCCATCAAGCAGAGCTAACAAACAAAGGAAGAGCTAGTAAACTTCAAGTAGAGAAAACAATACAACATAATTGCTCAATCAGACTTAAGTAGATGATGGATTCCCTATGCCTGACAATTAACTGTTATTGATTGATTAACATGACTAAGAGAATTTTCACATGCAAGGTCGTCTCAATAATAATAATGCAAGCAAGGGGTTAAGAGATATTGATCATTTGAATATCAATATGGAGCTCAAAAAAAGTAAGGCCCGCATTAAAGAACTACAAAAGCATGTAGATCTCAATAGCAGTTAAGCTCAAGCAATTTCTAATTATACATCTAGTAAGAAATAAGCAAGCTTATCAAGACAATAAACATTTAATAATGAAGAAGGATCAGTCGTTAGAGCAAATGTCGGAACAGCAAGTTAAAATAAAAGAAGGCAAGATTAATAAAGCGCATCCAGAAAGTCAGGAAATTTTCAAGTATATGACTCATTCTAAATTGTCCCATCATCAAAAGGCTCACAGAATAATCTTGGTCATTTCTTCAAAAACAATTCGAAACTATCTGCAACAAGGAAAAGCTAATCAACAGGAAGGTCAGGGTTAAGTACAAAGAATCAATTAAATGTGAATCAAACCAAGAGATAGATCAAAGAGACTAACAACCACATCTTAGGATTAGTCTAGGCTTAAAGCAATCGGTACAGTTCATAAATTACCAGTATGAGAAATTAGGAGATGTAACAATAGCAAATCATATAGTAATAGCAGGCGCCATTTTACCAGCCCAATCCAAATTCAGTGCCACAGAGAAAGCAGCAGGATCTTTACAAAGTATATATGAATTATTTACCAAATAACTAGGTGTTTATGGAAAATAATTCCTAGAAAATTCAGACACAGTCTAACTTGGGTGGAGTACCTATTGCAGCGAATCTGTCTTAAGATCTTGGCATGCTGAACAGGCATAATAATTTGGTGCAAAAAAACAGGAAAATTCTAAACTCAAAAGCTCAGCAAAATAATGTTATAAATCTGAATCAAAGTAACGTTGGAATGGAGTAATTACCAATGATTAATAATCCTAATAGCACAAGTCCGAATCTCATCACTAAATAGGTAAGCAACGAGCAATAGCAGTAACAGATTTCCCCAAATCATACTCAAAACTACAACAATCCTTACACCTCATCATAAAAATCAAGCCTTAGAAATCAGATAAGTAAAATGAACCAGAACTAAGTCAGTCTGTATAACTAGTCTCAGAATTCTAAAATGTCCACAATGGGATATCAGACCTAGTATAAAGTAAATGGCATGGCTGCCACAACATAAGTGCATCATTATAATACAAGTTCACTTGAGCAGTATAATAATCACTAATTCGCTTCAATAAATTAGAGTATGCTTATGAGAAATCTAAACATCTCCATACTGAATGGTGAATTAGAAAATGAAACTTCCCTTGAGGATATGCATATGTTCTTTGTTGCCTTTAATAAAAGATAATAAAAGATTGTCATTGGAGTGGAGGATCCAGTAATAAAAGCTAATGATCAAGCAGAAATTGCTATATTAGGAGAGGCAACTACAGACACAGACAAGCCTCCTATTACAGTTACCATCCTCGAAGAGGAGATCGATCTTGAATGATGAATTCAAGCCCCTAATCATTTCATTTAACTTATTGCTAATATGATGAGATACATAGTATTTAATTTTCGCTTTTAATTTTCCTTTAAAACTGCTAATAATGAAATTAAGGGGTTTTGGGGTTTTGGGGTTTTGGGGTTTTGGGGTTTTGGGC